CCTGATGTTCTTGAATTTCTAAGATGGCATTGCTGTTCTTGATTAATTGATGTATAACCATGATTGGCCTGGACTTGGAAATATTGCAATTTTTGCAACATTGCGATATTTAAAATTTTGCTTGCTCGAAGGAAATCATTTGAGGGTTTCTTCTATTCTTGCGGAGGCATATCGAAGAGGGAGGAGGTTTTCCGTCATTCTCTTTGGAAAAAAAATTGGACCCAGGAATGATATCCCCTAGACGCCCTCTCACAGTGAGGAAATTCTTATTGAAGTCATCAACTCATCGAGGTGCAAAACACGTAAAATACGGGTCGTCAGCTTCTATCCATTTTTTCTGCTCTCCTTGACCACAAACGTGAATGGATCGTTCTTAAGATGTATATTTCCGGTGTCTTACTCACTATATTATTGGCAATTCCGCTCGGATAGTTTGACGGTCACCTCGATTCTGCAAATGCATGAGTCAGCTGGTATATTGATCATAATAATACGCAACATAATGGAATGTCAGAAAAAGTGTGTTATTGTTAGTAACATTTTTGAAGGGGGGAGGGCTTTCAAGTAAGTAATAAGGTAATTAGTTTACATAGAACAAAAGAAGAGATGAACTGAGATTTATAATGGTAATAAAAGGAAAAGAGATTTACTGACCTGATCGAGTGTCTCAAATGTGTCTTATTTGCTCGTGGATTTTTCATATTATGTTATCACTATGTGCGTATTTTCAGCAAGCCTCTCAGCCCATTGAGAGACCGTGCAGAATTGCTGTTTACAAAAGTTGTAAGTTTCAATGCTTTTAACTCAAGTTTTTCTCAGATTTCTCCTGCCCTTTAGAAAAATATGAATCTTTTGTAAGAACCACGCACAATTTGTTTTATTTTGCTCGGAGGCAAGATAAATTAGCTCCTGAGTTCATTTTCGATTGGAAAGTTGTACACTTTAGAACAATTCGGACTGAGATAATTTGGCTTCATTAGCTTTGTAATGTATTTAAAAATGACGATTGGCTGAAAAATGCAATCCCGTAGAAACACTCAAAACGAGACATCCAGTCTAAAAGCTCAAATAAACACTTACGGAAAATAAAAGATTTGTACACTAAAATCACTCTGAAGCTCTATTCAAACGGTAACTGCTCTTGAAGGGCAAACGGAAACTACCCTTGAACGCCTCAAGAGTGTCTAGGAATCGCAAGAATTCACAGGTAGTTATGAGGTATGCGTGCGATGCAGATAGTTTAGGAGGAAGAGGATTCTTAATGAGCAATAATTGAAACGAAACGGGGTTGGAAAAATGCCATTCTTCAATGTGGAACTTCAGGTAAAGTTTGGTTCACAACGTTTCTATTACTTTGTTTGAAAATTTGAGGAGCCACGAATGAATTGAGAGAGTTTTAATTTTGCGTCATTTTTCCATTAAACGACACGGAAGAAAATAGGGTAGTCGACACAACCAGCGGCTAGTTAAAAATGCGCCAGGTACCGTGCGGTATAGTTACGATAACACACTGAGAAAAATAATGCTGTCTATATTTTTTTAAACCTTAAATTTATTTTTAAGTGACGCTCTAATGCACAGCTTATGTTTAAAATCATGCCACAAAGTGACTCTGTTCCGATATATTTGGACATTTTTGTTGAATGCCGTGTATTGCACTCATTTCACTTTACCCTGGGGTTATTCAATTCGCTGGAATTAAATTTAAAAATTTCATCATTCCGATCCCGATCATGTTCATACATCTGAGTCACGTTTTGAAAAATAATAAAATCTAATGAGATATTATTATTTTGTTCATATTTTTCCAGTCTGCCTTACAAACTACAAGCTTTTCTTGATGCTCGTTATTACAGTCTGGTGCCTTCAAAACTTCGGATTTCTTGGTGTGAATAGATCTGATTGAAGTCAGTATATATTCTTGCACTTAAAAAATCAGCAAATTCATTAACCTCTATTTAATATGCTTGATTATGACTAATAGAATCGTGAGAATTTCATTTCAATATCTTCGCTTCTTTTCTTTTTGTTTTATAATGACATATTTGAAGTTTTCGTATCACTGCTATTACAATCTGAATGAAATAAAATTTCGCTTTGAGGAGTGATGTCACAAGTATATTTATTTTCAGTGGCAAACATATTTTGATAGACATACAAGACTTGAAATTGTGTATGAAATTTGCGCAGTTTATAAAGCGAAGATTTTGTTGATTTAATGAACGACAATGACAACGATTTATGAAGATAGAGAGTCCGGGCTTGAAACGCCTTCAGATTTGTAAGTATGCAATTTGTTGTACCGCTGCGGAGAGTCAAGTCTGTGCTGTGTTGTTCGACCGCGCTATTTGTGTGTACCCTTAGAGGCACTTCTTTGAAATCAGCTGAGTCTCTTCTAAAAATATATGAGTTCACTTAAGACTATAAAAAATAACTGTGAGAAATCGATTGGAAGTAAAGACTACCCGGAAAAGACTACATATTAACACAAGTTCCTATCGCAAGTTGTTCTCTTTGACGTCAAGAGTAAAAATCACTCCATCTTTAAAATTCTTAAAAAGAAAAAGGTCTCATCGAGGCCAAAAACAATTATGAATGATAGTTCATGATAATTCTGACAATTTATGATATGTATGACTATTTGTGATAGTTATGACAATTCGTCGTGAACCATCAATTGAAGACACCGCACCAAGAACAGCCTATAACTGGAAACCGCGATTTGAGAAAAACGCATTTAAAGTTTTGTTTTTGATGTAATGCGCAGACTTTTCTACGCAGGTACCCTGTTTTGGTGTTTTTGGGTGACCTAACCCTTCTATTGAAGGATGCCGGTTAGATTTTGCGATACATTTTGGGTTTATACTCTCATATATTTAATTTAAAAAAGCGGTTTATAGGCCATTATTACGCCCAACAGCCATTTTGGTGGCAATATGAAGTATATATCATTTTAATTACTTATGATTAACGCAAAATGAAAGAATATAGATGGTGAGTAAAGGAAGGGGTAACTAGCACCTTATAGGCCCGTTTATAGGTCGTTCTTGCACCCATCGATCCAGAGGCCTGACTTAACTCGGAAAAAAAAGGTTTTTCGACCTCGAGCCGTTACCTATCTATGTTCTATCGCTACCACAGCATAGTCCAGGGTACGTAGAATCCGAAAAACAGATGGGTGTCATAACGACCCATACGCCTATAGGCTGTTCTTGGCGCGGTGTTCTCAATTAGGAGAGCGTTATATCCTAATCGAGCAAGCCTGAAAAATTGAATTTAGATAAATTCTAAAAAAATATCTTCGGTTTTTATCCTTACAAATAAATTATTCTAAAGCATTGCTTCTGCATCATTAAATTTTTTACTGGAAGTGTGATTCTTATTTTTGAGTCGAAGTTTACTCCTTGATTAGGTGCGTCTTTAATAGAAAGCTAGTTGCTACTTGTAAAAAGCAATTTCTTGATTTAAGAGTGAAGACATTATATTCACAATCAAAGATTAACAGCAAATTCAGGAAACGCATGCTTATCATAACGTTTACTTGTTTTGGTGTGAGTTCACCTTTAATCTCAGGAAAGTGAGTAATCTGATATGATACTGATCAGACTGAATTTATGTCTTCAGTCAGTTGGACCTTGCAATTTAGTCCACATCGAACATTCTGATTTTACACTGATATCACTACCTAACATTGCACTAACACTTTATTACATTTTATTGCGTTGCGTCGCAGACTCCAATCATACTTTATTTTTTAAATGGAAAACTACTCAGCGAAAATTCTTTAAAACTGCCGTGATTCTTCTTCTCTGTGCAAAGAAAATTCTGAAAATACCTCAAGGAATGATGTCAATTGGTTCTCCTTTAAAGAATAACATAGAGGCGAAGATTTTCAGACATCGCAAACGAGTTATGTGATTGCCAACTTACACCGTCGTCGTTATACTCTGCGGAACATTGGTTGAAAGTTTCAAAGTCAAAATTTGCATAATTAATAATTAAATAACCTTTAGAAATGGATCCTTCGTATGACTGGCAAAATCGCCAGTAAAATTATCTTTCAACAGTGGTTTACTCTGATTACCTATTTTACATCTTCGAAATATGAATGTATTGCCGCGAAAACTTTAACTTTTGCGTCAAATGATGCAGAATTAACCCATCTACGCTGTAATGCAATTATTGCATCCCTTCTCTCCCCCTCCAAGAGGCATATTTTGCCCTGCTGCGAAACACATATCCATTCTCCCCCGAGGTTTATTTGTGCTGCTCTCTCATAGAGAAAATAAAGAAGGTTTTGGCGAGGCAGCCTCCTTAACATATAATGTTCACGTTGAAAAGTACTGCGGTTTATTAGCCAATGAGAATGAGGCTACAGCCGCGAAGCAGACTCTGCTCGCTGCGACGCACATTGGATCGAGTCAATGAGAGAGATCGGACATGACATTTTTGACTATAACTGCAACTTTTAATGTTTTTTTCGTCACATTTTAAATTTTAAGGGGTGCTTTGTGTAGAAAATTTTACGAGGAAACCAATGGAACCATCTTTAGAACCTCAAAGGTTTGGATAAACGGAGTTATAGGCGTTTAAAGTTTCCAAATTTTGTCCGACTTCTCGTATTGAGTCGATCCACAGTGCGACGTAGAAATGTACATTTTCCCGCTCGCCGCACCACCCTATGCGTTTTTCTACGCTACTCTCTGACGTCAGAGTCCCGATTCAAATGCCACAATCACACGCTGAATTCGGCAGCTGATTGTAGCAGTCAACAGTCAGCGCTCAACAGCTGATTTCACTAATTCTAGTTATTTTCATCCAAATGTGTATCAAATCTATTCGAATAGTTCCGACAATTCCGACATTATCCGATGGTCGCCGAGAATCGTTGCTGAATTTTGCGCGTCACGCGCAAAATTCAGGCATCGGGCCGATGACTTCCACATTCAAGCCACATTCAGCCCCCACATTCAGCGTGTGATTGCGGCAAAACTTTCGTCTCACGGGGATGGTGGAAATCCATTGCCCCCAAAACATGGGAGACATTCTTGCCCGTGCTTTATGATCTTTGCTGTAGCCTTACGGATACCGTCCCCCACTTGACCGGTCGGGACTGCAGGAGGGAGTTGAAGAGGGGGCCCTACGGGATGTTCATTTCCAAAATAATCCTTGAGTTTAAAATCCGGTGCGTTGGGATAGTCGATCTCTCCAAACACTGGGCAGTCTCTGCTCACAAAAAGCATGTTCAAACTCCTTTTTCCATATCTTAGATAGTCCATATAGTGATCCGAGTTGCACCTGGAAAAATATCATAAAATGAGATGAATCATCAAGCAGTGAAGCTTTATCTCTCCGTGGTGGAAAAGAGATTAGGAGCCGTTCATAAACGTGACGGTCTGACGGAGAGGGTATCGAAGAGAGCGTTACGTCATTTTTTACGTGTTAGAGGATAGGGACCTATGTCACAAAAGCGTCAAGAGAGGGGAGAAGAGGTCCATAAATCTTAAATGGAGATGTTGCATGTGTGAGGGATTTGCGATTTGACCATTGATTCTTAAGTAAAAATTTGCAAGAAACACGATGGTGCCACTGGTTTTCTCTGAAATCAACTCCCAAGCTCAAAAAAAGCTCTCAAAGTGAGGCCAACATGGTGGGGATATCCCACCCTACCCTGAGAGTCCACCTCTACATCAAGACAAACTCTCCATGCAAAGATAGGGAGCTAATACATTGGCAGGGTTGCCACTTTATTTGGGGACTCCAAAACTGAAAACACGGCATCTAGTGGGGCGGATAAGCATAACAATCGTGCACTTCTGGAAGAAAGCATGAAAATTTCAGGGATTCATCTCTACCCTATAGACATTCGATTCAGACATAGACCCCAAAAATCTGAGCCCCCTGGGGGGGCAGGGGGCCCCCAAATTTTGAATTTTGAATAACTACTGAACGGCTAATGTTAGCGTAATTTTTTTTAAGCAGGACGATAGGAAATTTTATTAGGAACAAAAATGGTTCTTATGAATTTTTCTGTGGGATCGATATTTAAGGCGTGAAACAGGAAAAACCATCGGGGGACGGGGAGCCGGCCGTTCTGAGGCAGATCCGCGCGCTGCGCTGTTTGCCCGGTACGCGCGCGGCGGCACAGTACGGTGTTACCGACGAAACAGTCGCTTGTCTTGGTTTAATCTCAACGATGCGCAGTTTTGAAAGTATTGTGAATATATCGTACTACCTATAAAGCCTTAAAAAGGGCTTAACTTATGCAGGTAATATATGTATACAAGCGAGCGCACGGCAACAGAAAGAGAAGGGGTTAAGTGCTGGAGTTCCGAATTGTTTTGTTGTATGGGCATGTCAAGTTTTATTACAGCATCCGAGATAACTGCATCAGACATCAGTAGAACGGAATAAAATCTGAGGCACAGTTGTCTCGGGAAGGGGGGGGGGCTAAAAGTCACAAATCTTATTTGTGTACCACGATGACCTGAAAAATGATTTTAAAATGTTTTTCTTTCTCTTTCTCTCGGTGCTGCGACATCAGGATGGTATCTAAATATGCTTACTTAAGACAGGGAGCCTAATTTTGTAAACAATGAGCATACATAAAAACATGCTTATTCTCCTCTCTTTCAGGAAAATTTTGGTACATCATTACTACGTATAGACATTTTTTTAAGAGGACCAAAACCACCTTCAAAACTTGCTCCAAAAAAAACGGCAAAAGAATCTTGAGAAAGCTTGATAGGGATAAATGACCCCCAAAAACCCTTTGTTGGACTGCTTCTTGTACAGTACAAAGAATATTATTAAGTAAGAACTGGCCGCCGTATCCGCTAATCTGTCAAAAGGGTCCATTTGAGTGATAGGAAGTCGCGCCTAAGTACTGGGAACCTACCCTGCTTTTATGTCAGCGCATCATAGGTACGATATTCCGCAATCTCGGTAATTTTGCAACTGATTACTGATTACTGATTTTGACTGATTTTTTGATATTTTGACGATAAATTAACCTTTTGATAATCTCTAAAGCCAATTCGATCAGTGTTATATTGTACGATAAAGTTTAAGATGTACGTTTTGTGCATTGCATATTTTGCAAGTCCCGTTTCTTGAAAATTGTCTCCGACGTACTTACCTAGAACTCTTCCATGAGCTCCATACAAATCAAAAATCGGTACGAGATTTGCGGGTTGAAAAAGAAGAAATGCAATGAATTTCTTCCTGAGGCCTGGTCCTTCTCAGAGGTTCTTTAAAGAATTAGAACCTGCATGATAAATAAATTTCCTCCTATATTAATATTTTTTTCAATACAAATGTTACCAACTCCACTCTAAATTCCATACAACAAAATGTAAGATAATATACATGGATTTTTTTTACTGCTCATTCCATTTTCTATGTGTCGTGGTAAGTACCAATAATATCTTCAAGGATGACTCGATAAAAAGAGGCGATAGTATTCAGATATCTTCTTTTCTATCATTTATTTAATGTATTGTTCTATTTTTTTTTTTTTTTTGAAATATGCATATTTGTTGAATAACTAAAAAAATGGGGAGTTCATGAAAATGAAAACTTCTATTGACTGGCTGGAGGGAAAAAGAGGAGAAAAGAACATTGTCGGAATGTTCCGTATGAATCAGTACCTATGCAATTGCGAGAAACCAATGAACATGAACGAAAAACGATATTTCCTTCATTTTGAAGGAAATCTGGTAACCTTGGTGGCGAAGGGAATGTGAAGCCCCCCTACCCTCCCTCCTCACTCCTCAATTAATGTCTCTACCAAGTTTTGCAAAATTCATGGTTATGTAAGCAGCTCATTGTCTCATTCGCCGAAAGTAACATGAAAAATAAGCTAAAAATAAGTTACGAAGGATTCGCCATTTCCAATAGTCATGGAAAAGTGGGTCAAAATCGTATTAAAACTTGTTATTTCGCTCTAATATCTTAAAAAAATGTAATCCTGTACAAAACTTACGTGAGGAAAGGGTAATTTACTCTGTAATGAGGTCGGAAAAGCTCTGCATTCAGAGAAAACAAGACGCGTGATGCGCGATGACCGATCCCTCCTATTGACTCGACGCTCTCACATTGGAGTATTTCGCTTTTGCTTGTTTTTATGTATTACTAATAAAAAGTAGAGCTTATATTACTGAGGAAAAGTATTTCGGCAGTACGGTAAATTCATTATTATTTTTCAAACTGTGCATCGTTGAGATTAAACCAAGACAAGCGACTGTTTCGTCGGTAACACCGTACTGTGCCGCCGCGCGCGTACCGGGCAAACAGCGCAGCGCGCGGATCTGCCTCAGAACGGCCGGCTCCCCGTCCCCCGATGGTTTTTCCTGTTTCACGCCTTAAATATCAATCCCACAGAAAAATTCATAAGAACCATTTTCGTTCCTAATAAAATTTCCTATCGTCCTACTTAAAAAAAATTACGCTAACATTAGCCGTTCAGTAGTTATTCAAAATTCAAAATTTGGGGGGCCCCCTGCCCCCCCAGGGGGCTCAGATTTTTGGGGTCTATGTCTGAATCGAATGTCTATAGGGTAGAGATGAATCCCTGAAATTTTCATGCTTTCTTCCAGAAGTGCACGATTCTTATGATATTTTCCACTTATCGGCCCCACTAATCACTGCTAATGTATTTGCTCCCTATCTTTGCATGGAGAGTTTGTTTTGATGTAGAGGTGGACTCTCAGGGTAGGGTGGGATATCCCCTCTATTTTGGCCTCAACTTGAGAGCTTTTTTTGAGCTTGGGAGATGATTTCAGAGAAAACCAGTGGCACCATCGTGTTTCTCGCAAACTTTGCTTAAGAATCAATGGTCAAATCGCAAATCCCTCACACATGCAACATCTCCATTTAGAGATAAGTATTATATGAACGGCCCTTTGTGCAAATAGGAGAACCGAGTTTTGGTATTTCATTTTGCACAGCATTATAGACATAAAAAGCATATAAGACTCAAGGAGCTAAGCAGCAAAGCACTGAGTGGTGAACTAAGCAGCAAATTGAAGGTTGCATCGGAGTATGAGTACTTGCCTAGCAAGTATGCGGTTAACCCCGAATGGAGGGATGGATCAAGGCATCGTGAAGAGAGACATAACCGATTTGAGGACCTGTTGCAAACTTTAGCTAGAGCGAAAGGAAGAGTTGTCTCTAGTAAAAAATGGCTCAAAAATCACCAGGAGCGCATCGGGGAAGTCTTCCTAACTTCACAATCTGTGCACAAAATATGCGTGCAGGCGTAAACAGGCTAAAAACAGGCGTACATTTCGTAAAAGGTGCCGTTCCATCCAACCTTAGCGCACTAGGATGCAACACAATATTCGACATGGCCGACGCCAGTCTGCCAAAACACACGCGACGGGACGGATTTATTCAACCGGCGTGTTTATACATATCGACGGTGAAAGTACCAAACCACGTATCTCGTTTGCGGTGTTTAAAAATCTACGCTCACATTTTATTTTTTTGAAGTAGACCAAATCAATATCGTTCCTTGAAATTTTCACAGAATTTTCTCCGCACAAAGAGGAAAAATCACAGAAATTTTCAAGACTGGACGATAAGTAGTTTTTCATTTAAAAAATAAAGTATGACAGGAAGTCTGCGACGTCGCAAACCGAGATACGTGGTTTGGTAGTTTCACCGTCGATATGTGCATTTTCCTTGCGTTTACAGAGACTATGATGCCTCCATACGATTTGCGCACGGAAGCGTCAACCACGTTGAATATTGTGTAGCGTTCTCGTACCCAAGAGCTGTATGGAACGACTCCTCTTACGAAATTTTCACCTGTGCCGTAGTATCGTTTTTGAAGCGGAAAGCTTAAAAAAACACAGATTGTGAAGTCAGGCTTGCATTTTAGGCTCTCCTATTGTAATTTCTGAGCCATTGTCTACAAGAAAAAAACTCTTCTTTATGCTCTAGCTGAAGTTTGCGACAGGCCTGTTGGCAACGTTGTAGTGAAACGTGTATGAAAGTAAAAATAGGAAAAGTATTTCAACATTATATGCCATGGGGGGGGGAGGGGATTATGTCTCCCACCCGCCACCTTCGATCCGCCGCGCCACTGATTCCTGGTTGCATAATATGATCTCCAGGAAATGGAGGCAGTAGTAGACTTCTGTTGGTGTTCATCATGCGTCTGTTTGCGATGGGCACCGTCAGGAGTCCAACGGTCACTGCTAGATTTCCTGGAGATCATATATAACTAGGAATCTTGTACCCACTCGGTTACTTTTATTTTCATGCACCAATTTAAAAGCAGCGGTCTTACACACATACTATTCGTATGTAAATACTCCAGCAATCCCGTGTAGGTTCACAAGACTACGAATCGGCCATACTTTTTTCTCTCATTCTCATTTAATTTCAAAATCCCCAGTTCCATTCTGCTCTCTATGTCAACATTCCCCCCTTACAATCGACCATATTTTGCTTTCTTGTCCTAAAATGTAAGCTAGACGCATCAAAATTCAAAATTCCTCGTAACATCCATCCTTTAAGCTCAGATGATCCAATGGTAGTCAACGAAATTTTAAAAATCTTTAAGCGATTAAATTTAAAAATTCAATGGCCTGGTTACACGCTCAAATTTCTGTCAAATTCCGATCAAAATGATGCCCAAGATGGCGGTCGAGGGTTATCTAGATTGAGGAGTAAAATTAATTAAAACAGCGTGTTGATTGAAATAAGCATGAAATAAGCACGGTTGTCTGGAAACCAAATGAAGGATGAGCCCCACAGCTCCATCATCTACCATCAAATTTTTGCAGGCCACCAGTCACCGTTTGATCGGAAATTGATGGAAATTTGAGCGTGTAACCAGCACATAAGGTTTCCTGGTCCTCGGCGTAAATAACTTGGTTGCTGATCGTCGTAAAGTAAGTAAATAACAAATATCACACAACAACAGTGTATCAATTTCCCAGAGACAAGAGACCCTCCACTGGCCTCCTAGCGACAGGTGGAAGCTTTTACTTTCGGAGTTTCAACAATTCCATATGGATACTTATTAGGGAGCAACAGTCATCACCCTAGTTTCGACTGTTGACTTACCTTCATGGTCGATGATGAGCTTCGGATGACGTCATGAGCCAAACAAGTTTCCCAAACGTCGGCCATTTGCGACTTGTTTGCAAACAAAACTGCCAACACGTTGTTGAACATCAACCATGTAGGTAAGTCAACAATAGAATGCTGAAGTCCCGAAAGTAAAAGTTTCCACAATGGCCGAGATACTAGTGTAGGGTCTCTTGTCTCTGCAATTCCCAGTCAGCCTAAACTAACCTCCGAGACCCGAAAGGGAAAGAGAGTCCAGGAGCTGACATCCGTATTGCGAGGGTCAATGCCTTCTCCACAGGAACGAGCGTGACGCCCTCTTTTGGTTTAATCGTTCGGCTCTTACACTCGGGGTAGCATGACTTCTTGTGGTTCACGCTGAATTTGGCCTTGTTGTGGCCCAACCGGTCGAGCTGGAACACGTGCTGGTTAGACATCCCGAAAATGACGTCCTCCGCGCAACAGGAACCAGGGACGCTAACGTGGAAGATGTCTCCCGGCTGGACATTTTTATCCTTGATTGGTGCCTGCGCCCGACGTCTTTTTTCGTGGTTTTGATACACTTGGCAGGCGTAGCAAGCGCACCGGACTTGAGGCGGAATACACGATTTGATCCTTCGCAAAATGAGGCACCACGCCAGTTTGTGCACTGGTGGTAAAAAGGGAAGTTAGAGGTCATAAAGAGGAAAGGCTGCCCTTATTTGGACGTATTTCTGCCAGGCGGAACTATGAGCATTATGGCATGAGCCCTGTTATGCATATCGACGGTGTAAGTCGGCAATCACATGACTCGGTTTGCGACATCCTGTCATACTTTATTTTTTAAACGGAAAACTACTCAATGGCAATTATTTAAAACTGCCGTGATTTTTCTTCTCTGTGCGAAGAGAATTCTGCAAAGACTTCAAGGAATGATGTCAATTTGTTCTCCTTAAAAAAAATACATTGAGGTGGAGATTTTCAGACACCGCAATGTGTGATTGCCGACTTACACCGTCGATATATTCTCATGGGTCGCAGGGCTCATGTCTTAATGCACATAGTTCCATTCGGCAGAAATACGTCCATTTGTTCAACAGATATTTGCCTCTCGCTACAGCTTGACTGAAAAGTCTGAGGTAAGATGCGGTGTTTAAGTCAAATGAACGCAACAAATTAGGTCCTGTCAACGGAAACGCTCAGTATGGTTCAATGATTCAATTTTTATTGAATGGGTCAGTTGCGCTGGTCACAGAATTGTGTTCTAGTGCCTGATTTTCGTAGATTGGCTAAAATAATAAAATCTGTCCAAATAGCAACTTTCCACACTCATATTAACACAGATATCGCCCCATGAGAAGGTTGGGTTTTGACGTCATCCACCACGGTAGTGACTTTGCTTTCATCAGTCGGAGTGACGCACATTTGCACTGGTGTTTGACGGGAACCTCGGACTAAAGCAAGGTGGAGGAAACCCCAAGGGTGTCACTACCGCGGTGGATAACGTCAAAAACCCAACTTCTCATGAGGCGATATGTCTGTTAAAATTAAACATAGAAAGTTACTGTCTGGACACACCTTGTAGAATCAAGCAACAGAACACAATTTTGTGACCAGTGTAACTGACTCATTGTGGAACGTGCTTGTCAGAAATTCGTGCTTTCATTTCATTTAACACAAAAAAGAAACAAACACGCTTCCTAAGTTTTTAAATCAGGAAGCCTACATTTTCTAAAATGTACAGCAATAAGGATGTCAGCTTATCGAACTTTGAGGTTAATGAGTTAATAAGCATACTATTGTTTTTGCGCAGTGTGGTTGTGTGAGTGTGTAAAAGAGCTAAGGAATTCATGTGTGGGAAGCGGAAATTCGATTTGAAATGGTCAAGAGATACATTTATAAGCTTATTTAGTTCTCATACCTCGATTAAAATGCCTGATTTGGACATATCGTAACCGATATTGCATAAATAATAGTTTTAGCTTATTTTTATACAGAAATTGCATTTACGGCGGCATCGAAACTCGAGTCACCAGTGACAGGTAAGATCGAACCGCGGTGAAAATACTCGTTCAAAGTGTTCCAGAAATGATCGTTACATTCTCGAGTGAAAAAAAAATCCACCGCGGCTAAGAAAAATGCATGTACTGTGAAAATATTTACGTGTTATAGTTCAAAAATTGTCTGCGGTGGTCGCAAATAACACACGGACTAAAATTGCCTTGGGAAAACGCCGAGGTACTCGTATTTGAAGATCACTGTGCAAGTGAACATATGAAAGTGATGAAAGTTGTTGGTATTACACATATATTTTTAGAGTATAAATTATTTTTAGTTACTATCAAAGATTGTAAAAAAAAACACTCTGAAACACGAATATCAATCGTCACGGGGTTTTTGAGCCAAAATAGGTGGAAGCCTCATAATCTTTCCAGCTTTTTTTCAAATTCCGAAGTGGTCCCGCCAGCATTACCAACCACCTTCAACCAATGAGGCAAGGCTTCATTTTTAGCTTTCAACGCTCCGTCCTTAAGCCTTTGATCCGTAACCTAACCACTCAAGCAAGTAAGCACCGCACGCACTGCTGTCTTGCCAAATATAGAAAAAACCTTCATCATACGGTCGATGATAATACACGTCGGATTATAATCATCCGAACAATTTCTGACAACTTTAGGATCGTTTTAGATCGTATTTGATACATAAAACAGGTGAGATAGTATCGATATTGATTGGTTCAACATGTGAACATGACCCCAAAAGTCAATTTACAAATCTGAGGGAACGGGTCTTTTGTGATCGAATTTTTTTTCTTTCGAGTACCAAATGGCAATGTAAAATGAAATTGTTAGGAATTTTCTCATTTTCAGCTTTTCCAAATAAATACCTAAAATTTTTGTTCGAGATTATGTTCTATTGTTTTGAACCGAACGATACATCGAACCACTTTCAAGTAAGCTCTATTGACGATTTTATGAAGGACGAAGTATTCGTTGAATAAAAGATGTTACTTGGATGTTACTGTGTCCATTCTCTTAAAATCACAGTTTTGTTTTAAACCGCTCTTCTTCGTTAATATGACATTTTGGATAGTAAATGTAATTACTTTTATTTTAAGAGCTTACTTACCTATCTCATAAAAGCAACATCCCCCATTAGGATTAGAGTGAGGCGCAACGGACGAGCTATAGAAAGATGAGGTCGACATCTCGTTCACTCCAACGTTCACTCCGAAACTTCGATTACGAGAATACTTGCATATTTTCGCCCTGTAGGCTTAAATGTACGCATTTTGTACCTACGTCAATTTCTCGCAAAAAAATTCAAAGCGTCACACACTATCCTTTTCACTTCCACAAATAGTTTTCAATGACACGCATAAAAAATTTCCTCATGTCATTTTTTATGAACCAAATGACTGACTGGGTCGTACACCATTGGCCCTTGTCACATCGACCGTGAAACTGAAAAAATGCGTATCTCGGTTGCGGTGTTTCTACATCTTTGCTCCTATTTTATTTTTTAGAAGGAGATCAAACCAAAATGATAGCTTGAATTTTTAACAGAATATTCTTTATTAAGAGAAGGAAAATCACTGAAATTTCTGAGAAAATGACGTTCAATAGTTTTCCACGAGGGCAAAGTATGACAGGAAGTCTACAACGCCGCAAATCGAGATACGTTATTTTGCAGTTTCACTATCGATTGGACACGCATGAAATCTCCTCGTGTAATGTTTTAGGAACCACTCGTGCACCATTTTCCCGTATCATATTTCCTCATTCACGGATCTTACTTTGCTTTGACGCACTTTCGAGTTTTTTATTCGAGCCTGACATCTCACATTTTCCCCCCAGTGGACATCCGCAATGGCGTAGCTTGTAGACCTTACGTAAGGAGTAGATAGAAATGCAAAACTGTCAATTGTAAAGAGTTTGGATGTTGTACATGACAATGATAAAAAAGGAGGAGGGATCGTATTAAAGGCTTGGGTAAGCAGATTCTAGGAATTTTATGGAAAAACATTTGCGAATAAAGAGATAAATGAAATTTCGAAAAGTGAACAGGTTTTTCCTCGAATTTTTCTTTTAAAAAGTCGAATACGGTATTGGTAATGGTCTGATGTATGACTTCTTTTTCAAAATTTGTTTACTATAGTTTTTAACATTGTGCACTACATTAGAAAATGTTTTGTTGTAGTGTGAGTGTTTACGCTCGCTCCAGTTTCATCGCCGTCAAAAGCTTGAGTTAGAGCTCCATTTTCCATTTAAGTGTAATATGTTTATCTGAAATGCCAATTTTTTTAAGGATAGTGTCTCTTCTAAATTCCTGATGTTAATTATCCTAATTTGCAGCAAATTTGTACATCACTTAGGAATTTTTCTACAATTGTTAACATTTGTGTCATTGAGGCTTTCATGTATTCCATGAAGCATTCTGAGTCAAATTTTTTTTTTTTTTTTTGAAGCAGGGTGGTTCTGTGAACTTAGGACATTCTCTTAGACACCTCCAGAAGTTCTTTACTTATCGACAGAAAAAAATGACAGAGAATCACACCTTTATCTGTATCTCTCGCTATCTTCTAAAAGTTTCAGCGACGGCTGAATGAATATAAAACGAACTGAAAAATTAAGCGTGGTCATTGTTTATTCCCTCAAATCCTCGCGTTAATCTTTAGTCCAATCAATCTAGTATTTTTCCTGGAAAATCAATGTGTAGAAAGGTTTGTTTGCGGAAACATGTTGGAAGAGGCCAACAGAACAACATACCCAAAGTTTACCGGAATCGGCTATCCAATACAAGATGCAGTTGGATTTGTCTCTAATCTTTGTAAGTGTGCGGTCGCGACTTTTAACCGCAAGTAAGTCCTTTTTAAGCGGGCATTCTTCGCCGTCCCTAATTCAAATCCGCAAATGTTGTTTAGTCAAATTAGCTCTAAGGAAGGGCAATCTGGAAAATTCAACCTATAGAAGGTTTCTTTGTGATATCATGTTGCAATCAACCACCAGAACAACATAACAAAAGTTTACCGGAATCGGCTGTCTTCAGAGGCCAACATCTTGAGAAAAGGCGGGCTGGGGGGCCAAAATACGCTGCGCCGCCGGCATGAACGGTTTTATCAGTTTTATCCAGCCATGCTTCAAATGTATAATCTCTCGTCTGTTTTTACAGTTTCTTTCATGTCTAATGCTGTATCATCGTTTCTAATCTTGCCAACCACAGTGCGGCCGCCACCGCCGGTCGGCGCGAAACGCAGATGGCCAGCGCCTACAAGACTGCAGGAATACTTCACGCATTGCGCCAAATACAATGAGGTCGTTGGTCGGCGCGGCGAGAGATTGGCGCCTACAAGGCTGCAGGAAAACTTCACGCATAGCGCTAAACGCATATTAGCGCCTACAAGAGTGCAGGGATACTTCACGCAATAAAGCATGTTAGCAAATTTTGGTTTGGTACAGCGAAAACATGTGAGCTTTAAAGGACTCGCTTGGTTAGGAGGTTGGTTTAGAGTCGCAGCGGCAAACTCACAAAGGTTAGAGACAAATCCAACTGCACTCTCCATCCCCTCTCTCTACCCTTTTCCACTCTCATCACCTCTGTTCTTTTCTTTAAAGCGCCTCCTACATTCAACCAATAGTAAATACAGACTGACTTATCTTCAAAAGCATCATCATGTCTATCGTGAACCGTGATAAAAAAGAACGACACATGAGCATTTGAAGGTTGCCAAATTTCTCCCGACAAATGTTATAAATGTATTTTCCTTCGAAATTTATGATAAATTAGGTTAGGTTGCAAACGAAATTTTGTGAAAAATTCGAATATTTTACAAAATTATCCGAGACATGGGTTTTATTAGAAGAAATTTGGCAACGTCTATATGTACGTCTTTTATACCTTCCATATGAGCCTCTAATCACAAGTTGGTACAATAGTGCATATAAGTCTCAAATTAATTTATACTGTAACATTACATTTTAAAGATGAAGAAATTAATCAGAAGGATACGCGTGCTTTCGTAGTTTCACCATTGTTTTGCGACCAAAAAACTTATTCTCAGGTGAAGCGCAACCTCAAAGAATTTGGGGTTCTCGTTGTTCCTAGCTATCTTCTTTTTTTGCAGTATGCTTAACTCAGTAATATCTCTTGGGAGCATTACTATTATTATATGTAATGATATAAATTGGAGGAGAAGGAATAAAACGTAGTTTATCGTAAATTTATTAAGAGAAAAGAAAGGGATCATAATATTACAAAAACTGTAGAAAAAAATGTACATTATTGAAGCATTTTCATAATATCATACACATATATAAAGTCAACTCTTCACTAAATAAATTGAACATATTTGTAACATCATATTTAACGTTAAGTTGCAACAAAAACAGTGACATGAACAAACTGTTGATTTCCCTTGACCCGCTTTCATTTCAAGGGCAAGGGAAAGGAAAATAAAGAGCCAACTCATCCTTTCCATATCATGGGGAAGAGGAATACGAATTTAAACAAAATCCTTCGGCATAGAGGGAATTCTCTCGTTCAACAGACTCAGACTAGTGGTGTTGTAAAAATATTTTTAGATCAAACGTACCTACTATCTCATCTCGCTAAAGACCAAATTAAATTATAAGAAAATAATATTAGATAAAGACGAGGTTAATGAAATTTCATGATATTCAACTCAAAGCTGCCGCGTGACGGAAGAAAGCCGTAAGTGCAGTCTCGGATGAGTCTCGAGACACGTAAGAGCAAGTACCGTGGCGTGATTTCCGATGTATCGATTGATATGACATTCAAACCTATAGAAAAAGATCGATTACTAAGGCGTCTGCAACGAGTGTTATAATAATCGATTTTTTACCATAGCTTCAAACGGAAAAATATGTCCAAACTATGGCTCATACAGGAATGCACTTATGGTTCCGAAACACAGAAAAAAGGAGAGTTTCCAACGAATAAACAATTATCCCAAGTGTAAGGAAAAATTTACGGAAGAAATTGCTGCCGATTTATGAGGAGAATTACTTTTTAGAGGAAATAAAGTACTGGACAAATAATATAAGTTGAGAATGGATACAATCTTCCCATGCAGAGCTTGTTATAAGAAAAGAAAAAAAGAACCATTGAAAGTTCATTGAGAAGATATTTCTCCTTGAAAAATCGTGAAGAAAAATGCCTTGTTTAAGAAAATAATAATTTTTCTTTTATCCATTGCAGGAGACATTCAATAGAAGCTCCTTTGATTCACATTGAAAATTTATTCAATACAAACGAAGCATAATTTGATATGGACCCTTACACTTGGCCACGAGGGTTGATTTGGGCTGGCAATACGTTTGAGAGTTGAATATTTTAAAGGATTTTTTCAATTTCTTTTGATATCACTATTCTTGTTGGATCTACAGAGATAGAAATATTATCAATAGATTGACTGCAAAAAATTGTTCACGCATTATCTAGGTGGTCATATGTTCTGTCTTATAGAAATTGGATTAGCAATTTCAGCTAAGCCAAAATCTGGTAAGAAGGATGAACACTAGGCATAACCATTTGTAGGCGATGACCTTTCCACACTTCTAGAATTAGGTAACAATTTCCACTCTTTCTATCATAACTGTGTTGAATTCGAAGCACACTATACTTTTAAAATAATTGAATGGAAGGGCACGAAAAATAAACAACTTTCAATTAACAATATTATATCACATTTTAGTGTATATACAAATCCTATTGAACATTTTAATTGGTACCCGAAATGATAACAATGATAAATATATAAAAATAAAATAATCACATTTTTTAAGGTTTAAACTCTTGTAATCTATGTAATAAATATGCACTCGGATAGGTTTTTTTTTACCCAACAATATACTAATGGCGACGTGGAAAAAATCACTAGATTAAACTATTGAGTGGCTCAGATGACATCCTCGATCTAAAATTTTAATTTCCGAGACCATGGAAAATTAGGATATTCCTTTCACACGTGTATAAGAATTCACAGGAACTACCGCCTTCAGATTTGTTGAAAAAATACTTCTCGCACCTGCCTAGAATCTAATGTGATTCATTTATCATAAATGAACCGTTAAAGATCCACTCTTATATTTTGCGTGAATACGTAACATTTTCAGATGATGTACGCGGAAGCGTTGGGAAATCAAAACTTGATACCAATATCTTGGTGTCATCTCCTTTTTCTCATATTTTTTTTGTTTAATATTTAGAAAGTGCTGTAAAAGTATGTATGAAATAACATTATAATACGCATGATTTTTGTAATGCATGCAATATCCTTACAAATAAGTTTTACTCAAGATTGCGGACTTTTTATTTCCTCAGGTGACTGCATGCATTCATTTTGGCACAGAGCAAATATCTTTGAAACGAAATTTTGCGTATTAAATATACCAAATGATCACTCACATTGCTAAAAACGCTTAATTGACGAAAGTATAGTGATGGAACGTCAAAAGAAAGATCTATCTTAAATCTTCATTTAAAACCATAAAAACAGAAATATTGTCACAATAAAAAAGAAGAAAAAAAGTTAGAAATTGAATGAAGCTTTCTATAGTTTGTGCATCAAATCAGTAATGGTCACCTACTCATCCGTCACAGTGCATTAGACTAATCTATTAAATTTACTGATTTTAATCCTTGATTTTTTTAGATTAGTGTACGAAATGATTACAGAAAGCTGTTAAGGGCAGTAATTGGGGGAGGAGAAGGAGGAGGGGGCTTTCCAACTTTCAACGCAAAATCGCAGAAAATATTAAAGTACGAATCGGTGTTAATCGAAGAAATTTGTTGGGCATTGAAAAATACATTTTGATGCAACTGTCTTATACAGCTTTTTTATGTTTGAGGAATGTTAATATATGTATAATTTTTAAGAAGGTCCGCCGGTACATGAACTTTTGGCAAAAAGGGTGTAAGTTTGAAAAATTTCATAATATTTTATCGCCTAAAAAAATTGAACTTATGTTCTTGTGAAACGTAAATTAATGTTTTTGTTGTGAATGCAAGTACGCATTGTACTTACATTCTCATATACAGGTAATATTTTGGGATTATTCATCTGAAATGATCAATAACTATTCATACGTCTCATTTAGAGTGTATCTCGAGTGAGATAATCTGCAGATCATTTGAATAATTAGATGATTTTTGACCGATAAACCTTAAAAAGGAAACATTTTGCAGTCAGTCTGCAGTGTTTCATTGCACAGTATCGGTGTAGCAAATTTTACAGAAATTATAATATTTATATTTGGTATATACAATTTCTTTTCACTTTTTAGAGTGGAATTAAGTAACTCAATTATGAAATACTGAACTGACACGAGGCTGAATTATGCACCATCGTATTGATTTAATCCTGCTTATTTTCTTAATCCTCATGCCATACTTCATTGCTTTCTTTGAGGTTTAAGTTCTGTTATATCAGTATGAAACGGAAGTCTCTCATCTCATTAATAAAATACACCCGGATGCACTACACGCCAATATTTTCCCTTGTTAATAACTATTTTCTCAATGTATCGCCATTCTCACAGAGAGGTTGAATCCACACAGAAGATGAGATATGTGAATTTGCTGTCAAATATTTTGCAAATAAGAGAGATATTTGTCATATTTGTTAGGCTACCTATGGCGAGGAATTATATATTACTCGCGCCCGAGGAAAGAAGAGTTAATATCCGTATTGGCTCATGGAGAATTTCAGGTTTTGCCTGACCTCTAGTTAAAGCTACAATGTTAATTTTGCGGTAAGAATTATGTTGGTCCCAGTAACAATTCTGGAGAGGCACTGCTAAATTGGGGCCAAAATAATTCTTATCAAAAAAATAACGGAGTTTAACCAAGACTAAAAAGTGAGTTGAACCAAGAATTCAACAGGAGAATGGTAAGTGCAACATTCTTTTTCCACCTCGTGCAAAAAACTAGAGATCTTGCGTAGTGCCCCTACGAATCCTTGAAAGCATAAAATTATCTGTATTGACCCTGAATTTTTTTCATGACATAAATGAGACGCTGAGTGCAGAAAGAGCATTTCTTGGTTGCGGTGTCTCAGAATCTACGCGGAAGTTTCATCCATTATAAGTAAAGCAGATCAATGGAATTCGTTGAAATTGTCGTCGAATTTTCCTCATAATTTTACAATATTGAAAACGAAAAATTAAAGAATATTATTGCTGAATAGTTATAAATATAAAATCCGCGGTTTATAACGGTTTATTCTGTTATCACTGCAGTCTCATTTCAATACCAATTTCACCATGTAACGCCGTTTGCTGGTTTTTATTTTAATTTATTGTTCGAGCCCACTGTGGCTCTCCCCTATTCCACCGTCCACGCCTCAACCGCGCGCTTTCTCCGCCCCCGCGCAGGGAACCGCGCAGGGTTTTTTGTGCGCCGACGAGAGGGATCCCTCCAGCTTTTCATCCCTGACCACCAGAGTTCGGGGTCTCATTTACATGCCCGTTCCCTTGTTTTTTCTACGTTTTGAAAAGATAGGGGTTCGGCCAGTTCTCTGGTGAAATCAGACGCTCTCGACTTTGCCCTCGTCGCGCCCTAGTCGGAGCTCTCAATCCCATCCTTTCCATCCCGCGCACGCACGTTTACTGCTGCACACGCCCTTGCTCGCACGTCTACTGCAGCTTCCCTATCCTTGTGCTCGCACGTGTACTGCAGCACCCTGTCCTTGTGCTCGCACGTATACTGCAGCGCACCTCCTCCTATGTACACGCACGACTAATGCTGCGCCTCCAACCTTCACCTGTCCCTTAACGTCTTTCCCCCGGACATAAGGATTGAAGTGTTATAGCCCTATGTATGTATTTGTCGTGTATTTTCCCTGTGTAAAGTGTACATATTGTTGAGAAATAAAGATTAGAACTTTCAGATTAAGATCTCCTGATGATGATCCATGTCGTGGGCTCGTAGCGGCAAATCGACTTTCTGAAGGAATCTTACAACTCTTGGTTCTGATCACAGCTCCTATTTCTCAGCTGGTCCCTCGCGCTCCCGCCCATTTATTTTGTATTTTTAATTCATTTTAAGCAGTTGATAATGGTGCCGTAAGGTACCGAAACGTCCTGCCTATGTATTTTGTGTTTTAGCCTTGTTTCCGCATTTTCCCGTGTTTTCGATTGTCTTTTCCGTTTCGGGCTGCTTTTACATTCTCTTTGTTTTCCACCATAAAATCCGCTTTTGCTCCTGCGACACTTAGCCGCCAAAGTTCCCTATCCTCCCACAGTTCTTCAGGGAGTTAGAGTAGTTAACGAATAGTTGCCTCTCTAAAATTTAAAATAGCAGAGGAAATTTTGAAACACCACAACCAAGAAATACCCTCTCTGCAGCCAACGCCTCAAATGGTTTGAGAGGGAACGGCGAGACCTAGAGAGCTCAGTAAGCAGTTACCCAAGCTCAAATATTAGGTGGAGGCGGGGGCGGGAGGCAGGCCTGGGATATGGTAGGCACGATGTCCGGGGAGTAGGGCGGGCCGGTGGAGGGCGCCGCCTCCGGAGGTTGCGTCGTGGAGCTGTTGCGGAGGAGGTGGAACCCGCGCCGGACCGAGCTCGAGATGGACGAGTGGAGGCTCCCGATGGAGAGGGACTTCTGGTAGAGTCCCTCGGGAGGTGCGATGGGGTTCGCCACGGTCGGCAGGGTCAGGTTCGAGGAGGAGCGGGAGACAGTCTCCGTCCGGGTCCGCAGCTTCGGGTTCAGGTTGTAGGCAGCCAGCGACGAGGGGTCCAGAACGAAGAGCTCCTGCGAGCCGCCTGATTCCGGACTCAGCAGCTCTGATAACTGGTTGCTGTCCGTGCTCCGCGGTTTGTGCTTTCGATACCTGAAGCATTCAATTGAACAACGATATAGTTACAGAGGTTTCAAGGGCGATAGAGATATCTACCGATAATTTCCGTCCTATTCAAATGTAAATAATTTTATCAACACCATGTAAACAATTATTATATGCACACTCATTTATTTTGTATCACACTAAAACTGAATAAAGTCAGATGGGGAATGTCCCTGAAGAAAAAAAAAAGAAGAAGAAGAAAAAAAAAAAAAGAGGTTTATTCTTCCGTGCAAAGTAAAAACGCCATATGAGGACTTATACATATGTAACAATGGCGGATGTGAAAAATTACCTTTTCGAAACAAGTTCAAAAAACTGTTTCGGCATCGATAATATTTTGAAAAAATACTTGAGATGTGATCTTCGAGATCTGTACATTATGTCAGAGCCGAACACATGCATTAGATTTTTGTGTGACCAAAACAGTTTTTTAGGCGTGTTTTGGAAAGGTAATTTTTTACACCTGCCATTGTTACAAATAAGGCCTCATATGAGCCTTCAGACGTTGGAAAATTTCCTTTGATAAAATATGAATTTTTAAGGAATTCTATGATCATTTTGCTTTGAATTTCTTTGAGCAGTGGGGTTGCCTCTTGTTCGGGGACTTCAAAGTTGAATTATCGTATTTTCTTCCTGTCTGCGCATGGAGAAATCACAGAGTTTAACTAGGTGTAGAGATAGACTCTCAACTTAGCGTGGGATATCTCCAATCTCCTCCAATACGGCCTCAACTTAGAGAACTTTTCTTGAGTTTTGGAGTTTGCAAGTTCGCAAGAAACACGATGGTGCCACTAGTTCTCTCTGAAATCAACTCTCAAGCTCAAAAAAGCTCTAAAGTTGAGGCCAAAATGAAGGGGATATCCCACCCTACCCTGAAAGTCCACCTCTACATCAAGTCGAACTCTCCATGCAAAGATAGGGAGCAAATACATTGACAGGGCTGCCTCTTTATTTGGGGACTCTTTAACTGAAAACACAGCAACCCTGCTAATGTATTTGCTCCATATCTTTGCATGGAGAGTTTGTCTTGCTGTAGAGGTGGACTATCAAGATAGCGTGGGATATCCCCTCCATTTTGGCATCAACTTGAGAGCTTCTTTTGAGCTTGGGAGTTGATTTCAGAGAAAACCAGTGACACCATCGCGTTTCTTGCGAACTTTTACATATGAATCGATAGTCAAATCGCAAATTCCTCACACATGCAGCATCTCCATTGTCAGTTCTAATTTCGGTATGAAACGTTCAATGTTTCTCACTTCCTTTCGGAGATTTTTTCCATCTTTTTAAGTTCCTCCTGCCTTTGTAATTTCTCTGCCGTGAGGCAGCGCAGCGTGGTGGCGGATCTCGTTCCTAGATCACATGGAACCACTTTAATTTGCAAATCTCTCACATTTGAAAGAGCTCCATTGCATGCGACATAAACGTCCACGTACAAGAAAAAAAAGTAGAAAAGATGGCTGACCTCTGCTTGCGATCTCGGTCGCGGTCCCTGCGCTCCTGGACGCGGTCGGTTTTCCGTCGGTCGAGCTCCCGGGCGAGCATTTGGATCTCCCAGTTGCAGTCGTGCTTGCGGAAGCGGAGGTCCTGCTCGGAGGTGGAGCCGGAGACGGAGTGCTCCGAGTCGAGGGAGCCGGGGCTGTCGGAGGACTCAGAGCCGATCTCCACGGTCGTCCACATGGGCTGCGGCGTGATGGAGCGCGGCAGGTCCTGCAGCTCCAGGCTCTCCTCCTCCGAGTGGTCCTCCCACGAGCGCCGGTTGCACTGGTAGCCCCGCAGCCCCGTCTTGCTCCCGCACCGCCCGCTCTCGTCCACCCAGACCCCCTCCTCCGATGGACCCACCACCGTGTCCACCGAATCTCCTCGCTGAAAATAATAAAATAGGTAACTTAAGTGGTAACTGGTAAAACGCATCTCGCGTGCTGTTATGATAAAGATGATAAAGATGAAAAAGTATACCGAAACACGCATATTGTTGAATAAAGTTTAATGGCTTGGATGCATTCCGGGCTTAACCCATCTTCAGCAAGCACTTAAATCAAAACACAGAAACAAGTTGAAATTACAGTAAAAAATTGTCACAATGCATGATGGAGAAGAGTATCGAGAGGCAAAGCGAAGTAAAAACACTTGGGAACTGGTCAAAAATGAAAAAATGTTCAAACAAGTTAAAACATGTTTAAAAAACATTAGTTTTAAACATTTTTAAACATTTTTTAACATGTTTTAACACTTTTTCATTTTTGACCAGTTCCCAAGTGTTTTTACTTCGCTTTGCCTCTCGATACTCTTCTTCCATCATGCATTGTGACAATTTTTACTGTAATTTCAACTGGTTTCTGTGTTTTGTTTTAAGTGCTTGCTGAAGATGGGCTAAGCCCGGAATGCATCCAAGCAATTAAACTTTATTCAACAATATGCGTGTTTCGGTATACTTTTTCATCTTTATCATCTTTATTAACTTAAGTGGACATATTTCTATCAAACAGACCCATGTGCAGGTGAGAAAATATGGGGTGTGCTCGTTAGTTCTCCGGCCGTAAGAGTGAGTGAATAATAAAGCGCCAGTGACGTCAGCGGCAACGAACGAGGGTGGTCGCGGCGGGGACATCGTCGTCGGGGCGCTTTAGCTCATGAGCCCTGTCCACAACGCTCTCGTCCCATCCCGCGGCTCATGAGTCCCGCATTCAGTTGGCACATAGGTCTGTTTGATAGAATGTAATATCCCGCTTTTCCAATTCTTCAAAAGGAATCACGCCCACTTTTACACTGCTTCTCATGCAGCTTCGACTAGCACACCCCATATTTCCACCCACACATAGGTCTGTTTGGTAGAAATTCGTCCAAGTAGTAAATAGAAGAAAGAGACGACTGATCTACCTGCATTTTGAGGACATATAATTTTAACCGATGAAAGATAAATTTATCCGATCTAAATTTTGAAGAAATAAAATTTTAACTGATGAAAGATTATCGTGGTATGATTGTGAGCCATCACCTCGAAGGATCGTTCACTTCACCGAGGAAAATTATTAGATTTATACTTTAAGTGTTTTTCATTAAGATAGTAGATTTCTTTCTAGAAGATAAAAAGTAGCCTCTTCCTACTCGTCATCAAAAAGTGGAATAAAATGAGAAACCCGTAAACAGTGCCTTTTTGGCAGCTCTTATCATATGAACGGCAACTGGAACGCCGTTCGTAAAGCCTGGATGCGACTATTCGTGCTCAAAAGATGTCGGTGATACATATCCACACATTTGAAGGCGCTTCGGATTTTCTAAAATCCATACAGGCGCAGCTGCAGGCGCACGAGGTGCCAGGGTGAACAATAAAGACGCAAAGACTAAAGAGTTCTTTCTGACCTCTTGTGTCCTTAATGATGTATCTTAAGAAACCGAACGGTTTTTATTTTTCCTAAAAGTTTCTTTTTCGCTAATATCGGCAAAATGAATTCAATTCCGCGCGGATGTAACAATGGGCTTTACAATATCTGACTTTGCCGAATCTTCTCTCATGTTCCGTTTTTCAACACAGGCTATGACAGATTGATATTTGAAGAGAATTTTTGTATATACTATGGAAAACTCACAAAAAGTTTCAGGATGTTATGTCGTTTGGTTTTGTGTGGAAACAAAACCAAAAAAATCTCGAGAGGAAATTAGGCAATATAAAATGCTGTTACGCTGACTTTGGTTGGATTTGTCCATGTATTATTGCGTAAATTGGTTCCAAAAGTGTCATAAGGAATCTTCTTTGACTTACCATGAATGGCTGATCAGAGTATTCATCCGAATCGTCCATATCACTATCCGAGTCGGACTCGCTTGAATGCCTAATTCCTGCCTGAAATTTTCAGAGAGAGGGAAACATTAGCTTGACTTTCATGCCGATATTCTCATATCGGTACTTCTACTAACTTTTAAAAAGTATTACGACAGTCATAATATTACAAAAATGCTTTGTGTAGTTTTAGTCCTTCGTCAGTGCAGGTCTAATTAGAAACTCGCGAAGCAGAAAAGGTGAAGGCTAAGACCTTTTTAGATTCTCACCTGGCTTACGCAAGACTTTCATACCAGATTGATTTGACATTGACAGTGCGAGAATTATTAATTTGACGTAATTCGGATAAAGGTAAGATGAGATTCTTAGGTAGCTCAAAGTTGAATATTTTTAAATTTAATATTTTTTAAAATTTGTGAAGAAAGATTGAATACCCTGAATAAATGAATTTAATTAGTATTTTTTACAATAAAAGTATGAACAATAAAATTCTGAATTTTTTTCTTAGACATTTTTTGTGCCCTTGGAAATCTTTTAATATGGCTGTAAACTTTACTGCATGAAAAGTTCTTCCCCTCCTCTCTAGAACAAAAACAGAGTTGAGAGAGAGAGAGAGAGAAAATCTTTGGCAAAGTAAAGTTTATAAGGTTACAAAGTTAAACTTTTAATAATGATACCCACCTCCAACCGATGAATTTTTTGTTGAAGCCTTGCTATGATTTCATCCCTTGTTCTTACTTCTTGTTCTAAATTGACTATTTTTGATTTGAACTTCGTTTGCACATCCTCCTGAAACGTAGGTTATCATTTTAGTTGTTAGAGGATACACAATCGATCATGCAAAATCGGTAACCTTCCTTCCATTCAATTTTTAGTTATATCAATAAGTACTGACATACAGCAACAGGAAGTGCTGCCTGTATCAAGTGTTTGAAGGATCAACGGATAGATCAGATTATTCTTTTAAGAACAATATCAAAATAAATTTCACAAAATGTTATTGACTGAAGCAAATTGAGATTGGATTCTTTCGGAGGAGGACTGAAAGTCTCGTGTTGCTTGAATTTCTGAAATACCAGGAATGCTCGTTCTCAACTGACCATTATTTTAGGGACACTTAGATGTACTTACAATCTTTGATTTTCAGTGATTTTGGATTTGAGTCAAAAGGGTTGGTTTCTATCTGCCAAATTTTATTTTTCGTCACATTGAATTCAGCTGAAATCATATATATTTGGGTAAAGAACTCGACCACTTACTAAATGTCCTTGAATGACGTGCTTGATTCCGTTGAGAATATCGTTGAAATATTCTTCCTCTAGACTATGAGAAGGCAACAGGAGAGAGTCCGGACGGAAGCTCTTTTGAACACTTGTGAACTGGGTGATGGACATCGACTCCGGGAAGGCGAACACCTCGGCTCCACCCCCGCCGTCCGTGCCCCCGTCGAACGTCGCCGAGTCCGTTTGCGTCGAGCACGTGATGTTCTGCTGACTCCCGCCAGAGGGCGCCGCAGCATCCCCCGCCACGCACATCGCGAACTGCGCCGAGATAACATCCACCGGGGTGCTCGCTTCGGCAACCGTCGGAATCCTATCAACGTCCGGGATCAAGTCCGGATTCCGCGAGGGCGAAACCGACTTGTCCACTTGACCCGTCTGAAGACGCTCCTCACCAGAAGAGACCGGAGCCTCCAGGGGTTCCGATTTGACCTCCTCGACCGTCGACTTAACCGGGAGGCACAATTGGACTTCCAGATCTTTGACCGTGGGCGAGGCTGCAGTCGCCGGAGGCGACTGAAGCGTATCCCGGTTAAACGTTACGCTTTTGGTGAGCTTGCTATGCCGCGCGGCGAAGCCCTCGAAAGTCTGCGCGCGCATGAGCCTCTTGATATTCGGGTCGATCTTGGCGGCCGGCGCGGCCGTGGTCGGGTCCGACTGGTTCTTCTGCGGCGCCTCCTCGTCCTTCTTGAAGAGGTTGTTCGAGGAGAGCTTCTTGAGGATGCTCTTGAGGTGCTTGCGCTCCTGGGTCTCGTTGCTCTCCGGCGAGACGAGCGGGGTGTTGGCCACCGGGTCGAAGGTCTTCGGGAGGTTGGCCGGCCGCGCGGCCTTGGCGTTGCGCGATTGCTGGTTGCGGAGCACCAGCTCGATGGCGATGGCCTCCGAGTGGCTCCGGGTGAGGGTGGCGGTGTCGAAGGTGTTCTCGTTCTCCCCGCTCGAGTCCAAGCTGGTGCTGCGCAGGAAGGCGTCCCTCTCGAGCTCGGCCAGCTTCTGCCGCTCGTTGAGGATCTTGAGCTTCTTGACGAACGGGAGCCCGGAGTACTCCGGCGAGAGGTCCTCGATGGACTTGTACATGCGGATCCCCTGGCGGACCCGCAGGACGCCCGGCTTCCGCGTGAACGGGATCCGAAGCGGTATATCTAACTTATTGTCAAGTTGAGCCTCTGCAGACTTCTTGGTGTCCCTGCAGAACGATTGAGCAATTGAGTTAATCCTAACGTGCTTACTTTCTAAATTTGTTGCTAGACTAGTGTTCGGGGTGGTGGAAGTTGTGGGGGCGGGGGTGGGGGCGGGGTCGGGTGTCTGGGTCCCGGGCATCACAGTGGGCTCTTTGGCGCCGCTCGGGGGAGCGGACAGAACTGTGGCGTTCTTGAGCAAGCTCCAAGGCTTGGTACCTGAGTTGGTTCGCTTCGGCTCGGGAGGCTTAGCCCCGCCGCCGCCACCGCCCGTCGACTCCGCGTTGACGTTCTCCTTCGAGCCGCACGCCCCGGGTTTACTGCAGCTGCTGCTCGCTTGGGCGTCGGCCGACTTCTTGATCACCACGTTCTCCTTCTTCGTGATCGAGGAGTTGGCGATGGTGTTCTTCGTCGTCTCCACCTGGTTCATCGCCGCCTGGCACGGGGTCGGCGCCAACTCCTTCCACTTCTTGCGCGGCTTGGACACCGGCGACTTCTGTTGTTGCGTCCGAACGGTCGAAGCCAAAATTTCGGCCGTGTTCGAAGCGGCCGCTTTGATCTCGGCCGCCTCGCGGTCCTCCTTCTGTTTGAGCAAGAGGAGTCGTTGCAGGAGCGGTAGACCTACTCCTATTGGTTCGGGTTCTTTATCTTTGGCGTCCCCCTCGGGTTCCGCACCTCCCCTTTTTCCTTCGTCTCCTCTCTCGCCGTCGTCTTTCTCCTGCTTGTCTTTGCAGATTTTTAACCTCTGTAGAAGTGGTTTGCTTTGGCCTTTGGACTCGTCTTTCGGTGCTGGAGAATCCTCCTCTTGAGATGTTTCATCGCTCCACACCCGTGGCATCCGGCAAAGTAAGCCTTTGTTGCTGTGGCCCCCAGACTGACCACCGGATACATTGGTCAGAGGCTGAAGCTCTAAACTTTCGTCCTTTGTCCTGGAAACAGAAATTAACGAAGTCTAGTGAGGAAGATTAAGAAGTAAGAAATTAATATTACTTTGGAAGCAGGATACTCGGTAGTGATGAGATCAAGGATAAAAGACTCGAGGTAAAGAATCGCGTTCCACAACACAACAAAAAAAAAAAACAAAGGTTAAGGAGAATCCAGGGTTTGACTGGGGACAATTTAAGATTAGAGATAGCACCACCAATCACCACTGAGAATTTCACTTTCCTTCGACGATTACTGAAATATTCCTCAAATTACAAAAAGCAGATCCGCAAAATATAGATTATTTTTTGCTTGGTATTTTGAGCCAAAAATATTGGCAATTAGAATAACACGCGCAGAGAAAGTACGGCTGAAACTTTCAGCTCAGCGGCGGCAGCCGAGCGCGCAACGGAATCCCTCGTGTTCTGCCTCTCTCTCTCCCATTGCCGCAATGGGAATTACCTTCCGCCGCAGTTAAGACTTTATTTTTAGGAATTTTGAGAACATTTTTTTCCTGAGTGTTCCTCAAGTATGTTGCTATATACCCTGGATCTCCAATCTTGAATAAGTATTACAATTTTTATTATTTTGGCAAATATATACGGCTATTCTGAGCAGCGCGACGTGGTGGCCAAATCGCGAAGTTCCAAGCCTGGATTCACCTTAATGTTGCTCCCTTCATTTTCTTTATTTCTTTCCTTTTACGTTTTATTATTTTATTTTATTTAATTTTTTTAACGAAATTAGTTATCCGATTCTTCTCTCAGAGTTTTAAGTGGTAAAAATGATCGAATAAATATGTCTTTGAACATTACCAGCATGTAAGTTGATGGCATAGAGGCATAAGGGTCAGTAATCAAAATTTTAGTACCCGTACTTGTCGCAATATTGAATCTTTCTCGAGTCGTATACAAATCATAATTTTGTATACTTGTAAAATGTTTCAAATTGACTTCAAAAGCAACTATTCAAGCCTTTGAGTCGCCTCTCAAACCTCTCGTGTTGATGAATATTTTGAAGATGAACTATTTGAAATGCACGCTGGACAGTAATGCGCGCCACAGGGATTATCAAAGGAAGCTCCCGAGCAACTCATTTTGCCTACCTAGTTCATTGAAGGAGGATTGCCCGTACAGAATCGTCCATGCACTACACGTGTCAGTTCATCACGAACTTCGTTCATCGTTTATAACGAGGCTTCAAAAACGCGGAGGAAGAAAAAAATTTACAGATGTTTATAGTGATGGAAACATTCACGGAAGAGTAAATAGTACGTGCAATGCTGGGTAAAACAATTTTAGGTCCCTCTCGTTTAAATAAAATTGGTAATTCACTGTAGAATTTTGGTTTCAAATCAATGATTATTATTCATATTAATCGAAAAAATCACTGATTTGCTTCCCAATAGTGAAAATGTCACTTGTAATGTGGATTGAGTCAACTCGTTGATAATTTAAACGTCTCTCATATCTTTTTAACTCATGTAGTTCTATTATAATGTTAAAGATAATTGTTCTGTCGTCCTGATGAAGATCGATTCATAATATCAAGTAGAGGTGCAGCAAACTAAACAGACAATAATCACGTTGTTCTTCATTCCAAACGGACAATTTTCATCACTGCATCTACTGGTATGCCTGTAATCTATGTTTTACTGTTAACAGTGTTACTGCGGCGGGGGATCATTCAATATTCATTATTCATCGTTTCCTTAAAAGTTTTTGTCACTTCTTGATTTCTTTAGTTTTGTCTGATGCGTGAAACGATCGAGTTTAAGGTCTTTTTTAGAACTCAAAAAAAATTGTCCAAATTAAATTGCAAGACCATGTTGGTATTACATAATATCATCCCGCGAATAACTCTCAATTGCAATGATTTGGAAAAGAGTAGAGAGGTAAATTAAGTTTGAATTTGACACATACTGAGGGGATATAGATATAAAAGCTAGTGCGTTACCTTGTTCCTCGGCGGCTCTTCCGTAACACGTTCCGGAGGCCTTTCACATCGCTCCTAATTTTGTCTACGATTTTTTTGCTGGTTTTATGATCTCCACTGTCTGGAGAGGGTGGTGATGCCTGTTTCCGTTTTTTATCACCTCCTGGTGAAAAACAAAACAGATTTTGATGAGCCTGTGTTCTAGTTTTGAATCTCGAAGACACTACACTCGGAAAACTTTCCATGCAGCAATCCTAGTAATGAGCCCATTATTCGGGATTAATATCAAACTGAGGATTTGATTACATTCATTCATAAAATTCAATTTTGTTTTATATGTATAATTCATAATAGTATTTGTCAGTGGCGAGGTGTAAGTGATTGGTTATTCAAATTTTCCCATTTGAAGCTATGGTACAGAATCGACTATTCGGGGGCTCGTTGCGAACAACCTGCTTATCGATCCTTTCCTATTGGTTTAGATTGCAGATCAATCGATATATCGCAAAGCACACCACGCTATTGATATTTGTATAATGAAGATGACGTGATGCAATAAAATAGACCCCTATTAGAACTTAAGGTTTCAGGACATTTTGTCAACGATTTTTTGTCCGCGCACCTTTTTTGTCCAGTAGTTTACGCCCACACGTAAAATAAGCAACGGTGACTTGGTCCAAGCGTTATATTTTAGTCGGTATGTAAATATATGTTGACAATATGGAAATGAGAAATTGAGAGAGAAGGAGGTGTTGTTATGGTTGCTCATTTTCTAAATAAAATGTTATTGCTTTCTCCTTTTGAATCATCTTTTTAAATTGTCATTGGTGAATATTTGGTTTAATTTCTATCTTTAACATATTCGATGTACAATATACCTTATATATGTATAGGTACTTTCTTTTATCTTTTAAAATTTTTTCTTCACGAAATTATAACTTCATTTTGAAAACATTTATATTTTTAAAACGTGACAAATATTTTTAAAACCCTTCCCAAGCGACATGAATCTCAGCAGTTGTGCCGACAGAAACTGCAAAAATGAATAAAAGAGGAAAAAAAACCAAGAAGCACGCAATCTTTAGTTTTAACCCATTTATACATCGATCTTTTAGAGTCAAATACGTCAAATTTTGAGCGTTTGGTTGCGCGTACACCTCGCTGCAGCACAATAAAAGCACAAAATGTAAAAGAAAAAATTAAATTGCTTTGGAAATCATTAAATTTGACACGAAACCACCAATATTTAAAAAACACACATTATATTATTATTCTCTTTTGATAAATTGATACATATTTTTTCCCATCAATTTAAATGAGAATAAGTAATAAATATTGAGTGTGCAAACATTTCAAAATCATGAGTTAAAAAACGCTGACTATGCGAGTATAAATATTAAAGCCTAACAGAGCGGAGCGGCGCGGCGCGCGGTGTGCTGTCAGCGCGAGAGGCTCACTGGCGCCTACAAACCTAAGTGGATACTTCACGCATTGCACAATGCTTGAAGTATCCACTTAGGTTTGTAGGCGCCAATGCTCGTTGAACGCTGGCCGCCCGCCCGCCGTGCGGCGGTGCCTGAAGCAACCATTTCACAACAAAGGTGTTGCACAGTACTATACGAAATTGAACGTATTAATATATGACAGTAGGCATCCTTTAAAAGTACAGATCTTTCCTCGCAAAATAAATCAAGATACTCATCGTACACTGGAAAAATCTAAGAGCCTTTTAGCGGGGAAAATCTTGAAAGATAATTAAGTCCTGTTACACCAAAGAGGTGTAGAGAGTTTTAATGAATTTTGTCTCATGGAATTGACGCTCCCCCATTTTTACCAAAACTCTCAACTATATATTATTCTCCGTCGCACCAAACAGACAAAACAAAAAAACAAGCAAACCCTCATTCTTCCAAGACATTATACATTTTCATCCAAAAACGTCGCGAGCAATTGTCGTTTGTATTTACATGTGGGCCAATTAACTTTGGGTCTCAACTAGCACGTGGATCAAAGCTCCCGTGCCGGAAAAATGCGTCGACGTAAATTACTGGAAAAAACAGGTGCGCGGACAAAAAATCGTTGACGGAATGTCCTAAGGTGATTCGATGGACGTCATATTTTGTGTCAAAACGATATGCAATTTATCGCATCGATCGGTTCCATTTTTTCAGCTACTCGTCATTTTTCTCGAATGTTGATATTTCGATTCTTTTTTCAGGAGACTAAGGAATTAAAAAATGACAAGTAGCTGAGAAAATGGAATTAATTGCTGCGATTTATCGATTGTCGTTCTGACACAAAATATAGCGCCCGTCGAATCACCTTAAATTATTTTCCTCTGGCTCAGTTACTTCTCGAAACTGCGTGCAAGAGGGAAACATTTTCTGAGAATATTTTTTGATCGTCTTCATTTTTAGTGATAATCTTCATCAGTGACATAGCGAGTATTATACTCCATTTAAAATGTCTAAAATGAGAGGCTTCTTAATGGAAAAAGAAGTTAAAGGCCCTCCAAAAATGACCCTTTCAATAACCTCACTCTTATTTTGATTTATTATACCAAAGGGCGCCTTTACTCGATCGGCGAATCTGCTTCGGTCGGATTTCGAACAGTTTAGCCGAATTAATTATAAGCAGGCACTTTAAAGCACGCCTACTCCCTTTGGCGGCGGGCGTTGACGAGGGATAAAAAACCCGCGAGGGAGGTGACGCGACAATTTCTCCGTCGAGGAGGTTGTTTTGTAGGCCTGTCGCGAAGTTCAGCTTACGAGGAATAATTTCGAGGGATCCCAGACGATCACCTCTCGAGCGTAAAATTAACTCTTAAGTGGACGTATTTCTGCTAAACGGAACTATGTGCATTAAGACGTGAGCCCTGAGACTCATACGAATACATGCATTACAGGGCTCACGTCATCATGCACATAGTTCCGTTTGACAGGAACGCGTCCAAGTTGAGCCGGGCCAACCGCTGTCGTCACATCTTGCCGAGGCTTAAGTTGTCACTATTTGCGATAAAGGGCGTTTCGACGGTGAAACTGCAAAAGCGCGTAACTCCTCTGAGGTGTGTTAAAAGTTCTGCCCCCGCGTTGTTTTATCGAAGAAGAGCAAATAAAGACCATTGCTTGGAATTTTGGAAAAATATTTCTCACAGGGTGAGGAAAAATTAGAGAAGTTCTCGCGAAATGACGTTTGAAGTTTTTCTGTTTAAAAAATATTGCATTTTGAAAAAAATTCTGCAGCATGGAAAACCGAGATACCCGGTTTTTGTAGTTTAAGCGTCGACTTCGAGAGCGGCTTTGTTACGAGACGGCGTATTTTAGTCAGGCAGGAGTTCACTTCGACTTGAATTTATTTTGAAATGCGACCTTTTATGAACGCGGAAGGGTGAAAACGTTTAGCGCATCAATTAAGTCCTCTAAAATCCCATTCATCGTCAGTGCATCACAAAGCTGAAATTTTGGCGAAGTTCGAACATTTTTGAGTAAAGGAAAAACTTAGGTTGTTCTCGGACTGCATGATATAAATTGCATGTAATTCAACCCTCATCTCCCCAAATTCTTTTTTACCAGAGCTTATGTAATAGAGGTATAGAGGGTTGGGTGTCTCTCCGCATGATTCTGATTTTTACCCATTTGTCACATTCATGGATGATTGAAACATACAGGGCACAATTCAGAATGATAGAGACACCCTGGTCAGTTCCTCTATTACATATATGTCTGGAAAACAAAATCTAGAGATATGGGGTTTGAATCTCATGTAATCATTAGCGTTGATCCAGAAATGACCTGAGTTTTTCCTTTATTCATCAGTGACTCTGGGTCGATACTTCTTCGTAGGAAAAATGGGGAAAATAAAACCGACTTATCTGAGGAATATTCAATTTGCACTTGAACTGAAATTAAAAAATTCAATTTCAAAGGAATTTCGATTTTCTGACAAACTGGTGGGTATGAGGAAAATACACAGAGGTCAATTTTGACCTCAGCGCTAGAAATTACTCACAAAACAGTCAATTTTCCAGCGTTTTTTTTTGGAACGCAGACCTGCGTTATGAAAACTGGTTACTGAAATAAATATGGTAGATTTTGCCATACTCTGACTCAGTGATCCGAGTATGGTAAAAAATACCGGGCTCTATGATAGCATTTACCATACTCTGGTAAGATCACCAGAGTTCTGGTGAATACCGCTATAATTCTGGTTATTTCCACTGAATGGTATCTCTGTGTCAAAAATCAAGTAGACATATATAGTTTACCATACTTATTTTTTTCAGTGCATGGTAAACATCCCCATAGCACCTATAGCCAGGCTTAAAGAAGTTGCGAGGATTAATCGTATATTTACCGGCTACTTTTGCGCCTCTGTTGATGTTTCGGGCCTCCATAAGCCGCTTCCGTCCCAAAGACTGGAGGATCTCTTGAGCCTCCGGATAATCTTTCATCGCCGTCAGAACATCCTCACGCGATAAACTGAACAGCTCCGAGTAACCCACCGATCGAACATCTGCCGTCCTCCTAAAAATGATTCGTAAAATTATGTTTAGTTAAGTCCCCTTTCAAATGGGTGACTGCTCGATAATAGGTAACGTCTTAATTAGGTTATAGTTGTAAATAAATGAATTATATATGTTACCTATGTATCTTGCACTAAGAAATCACTATCTCTGGCTATCCCATAAAGCACAATTGGACCGCGTTAAACAGAAAGGAACCAAGCCACATCAGCTATTGCCAAATTTAACTGGGCACTTTAATTTTTTACATGAAAACGGTTGTGCGAATTTTTGTGCAAATTTCAGTGAATTTTCTCCATACTACAAAGCAAATTCCTTAAAATTTTCAAAAGAATCCGCACAAACGTTCGCTCGTAAAAAATAAAATGTCATTGTTAAATTTGGCAATAGCTGATGTGGCTTGGTTTCTTTCTGTTTAACGCGGTTCAATTATCGTGTCTTATTCGGAATACCTTCAACACCCGATTTTCAAAATGATGAGGTTTGTTCAAATGTTTAGTGCGAAATATTTGCAAAATGTCAAAACTTTTTTTTTTCAATCAAACAATTGTGTAAATAATAATTCTAAATTAACTATCCTGATTATTTATCAGGTGTCCACAATCGTGGGGTTAAGGATGCATTTAAAAAGTAAGATGAGCATGTTGAATTGTTATCATCGCACACATATTTTAAAATAAAAAAAGTGAAACATATTTAAGTACACTTACTTGTTCAAACCATCTAAATTCAAGATTCCGATCTCACCGAAAAAATCCCCTGCCTTCATTGTTGTTAAAACTCGCCCGCTCTCACTGGAGGAAAAAAAAAACAGGTTACAGTTAATTAACTGTTGTAATATATCTAAGAGTTTACAAGAACAGATAAAAAACAACTATTTCGAAAGAAATTCATAATATCGTCTAGCGATAGAACAGCTGGCATGCGCCCATCAGGTAGTCGAACATTTCTAATACTTCATAAAACATGTTGTAAAGTAGTGAGTCGTATAAAGAGGAACTTAAACATTATTCAGATCAGATTTATTCCTAAAGTTTGCAGTTGCACGCAAATCCTTTTTAAAGCCTCATTTCAGTATTAAAAATTCAAGTATCTCGCATTTTAAAACCACCATGCATCAAAAGTTGTATTGTTTCAAGGTTATGCAACGCATTTCACTGTTATTTCACAAACTTCGATATTTTTTGAATATTACTGCGATTGAATTTTGAGTATATACAGCCTCTCTCGAACCCACTCTTTTTTATTAACTTTTATTGATAAACATGACTACAATGTATAAAATGTTTTTACATTAAATATTTCGAACCCATGTGACACGGGCAAAGAATGAAAATAAAACGCGGAGCGCGGAAACTACCTGGATGTTATGAAAAAACTTACCTAATGACCTCTAGTATTCCGTCAGCGATAATAAACATTTCTCGCGCAACTTCTCCTTTCCGACAAATCAGGTCACCAGGTGTGAAGATATATGCTTTCATTTTTAGCACCAAATCATGGAGAAACTCAGGCTGGCACTCTTGAAATATTGTAACCTGTAAGGAATTAAAAAGTTAGAACAAAAACTTTGCACATAATGCTGCCGTGGTAAAGAATCGTTTCCTTTTTCTTCCTTTATTTCGCAAAAAAAAAAGCTTTGAATGGATTGAAATCTTAAGCAAGGAGAATCTATTACAGTTCGCGAGATAGTTTATTTATTTGGGTTAGGTCTCTCGCCGGGCAAACCTGACTGCCGGCCACCAAGAAAAACTGCCCACATACGCGGTAAATTTTAGAAAGTGTGTTACAAATTCCGCAAATTACGCGCTAAGAAGTGGATTTCAGACTTTTTTGACACGCCCAACGTGACTTTAGAGCGGATTTTCTCCTATGGCCAGGTTACACGCTCAAATTTCCGTCAAATTCCGATCAAAATGATGACCAAGATGGCGGTCGAGAGTTATCTAGATTGATGCGTAAAATTTATTAAAACAGCGTGTTGATTGAAAGAAGCATGAAATAAGCACGGTTGTGTGGAAATCAGATGAAGGATGAGCCCCACAGCTCCATCATCTACCATCAAATTTTTGCAGGCTGCAGAAATTTGATGGTAGATGGTGCGCACCAGTCACCATTTGATCGGAAATTGATGAAAATTTGAGCGTGTAACCAGCACACTACAATGTGTAATTCGTTGGCTATATCTCTTGCGTGCAACAGACCCATCATTGAATCCAATCCATAAACAGCACTTTTTCATCGAAGGATTCCGGTTTACTGCCTATTGGACTAAAGTGATTATATATGGAACTCATAGAAAGAATCAATCTTCAGTATGACCAAACTTCCATTAAAAATGAGCAAATCCGAAACAGTTCCAAGAATGAGCCATTTCATTCCGGCGAGATATTGTAAAATATTTTCCAAAGGAAAATGGATAAAAGAACCCCCTTTTCGCGAACAACGCAGCGTTCCGAACAGGAGCATTTCTTGCATTTCCATCTTTGTCGACGAGGAATATTTCTCGCAAAATATGAAAAATCAAACAAATCCGATATTGACGCTTTGTATCAAATAATTAATTCCATTCAGAAGCCACAACTACTTGGTTTGTTACTCTATAGTCATTGTTAGATCTCACTGTAACCGCTGTGAAAAATTATAGAAAAAGCTCAGTTTTCCTTTCATTCATTTTTTTCCAGGTTGTTGAAAAAGTGGCAGGCACCGATTAACATACCAGCGAGGAATAATCGAGTAAAATAATATTTTGCCATCGAACATTTTCACTTCAAATGGTTCAATACAATGTCGTCGCCTTCCGGCCAAAGTATCACAAGCGCCAAGCGACGTTTCAAAATTTCCGCCACCATTTTATTTTTTTATAGAGAAATTATTGGTTGAGTCTGTTTTAAAATTTCACTTAATTTTTTGTGTGCTGCCGATAAAATTCAGCAATATTCTCAAACGGATTTAACCGACAATTTCTCTGTAAAAAGATAAAATGGCGGCGGAAATTTTGAAACGTCACTCGGCGCTTGCGATACTTTGATGACGATGTGGCAAGCACGAATTTACCTCTGCTGGAGTGCAGGCTGCACCGGGACTGCGGAAACGCGGGGGAAATGTGAAGTCTGAGGAGGCAAGACGCAAGTTCGATTGACACAATTTCGAAACAAAAACACGGACCGATAGAGGAGGCAATCAGGCTAAATAATCGAGGAAAAGGAGAAAAAGAAGTCAGTGCTGCGTGCCTTTCACTTCAAATCACTGATACGTATTCCTTTGTTTCGCCGTCTGTTTAGTTGTAATCAACGCTCTCATTTTCTTTGTAAGCTCCTCATTTTTCGTCATCTTTCAAAGTTATGTCGCCCCCCTCCCTATTTTCCCACCTCCAGTCACCTCCACGGAGCGACGAGCCTTTGATTTTTCTTGCTTGCCTCTTCACTTTTTCCTCTCCGATTACAAAGAGAGGTTGCTAGATCGCGGGAAATTTCTATTATTTTAGAACATAGATAGAAATGTTTATGGAGCAGCCCGAGACAATGGTAACAGAAGAAAAACGAGAGGAAAAACGGAAAACAAGGCTAAAATACAATAATAAAACACCCGAGACGTTTGGCCATTTTCAGTCGGAATATTACAATAAAATTAAAAAATATCCCTTTTTGAGTCAAGCACGTATTCTAAATCTCAAAGTTTTTCCTTCCACGAGCAAAATTTCAGAGGGTAAATATGTGAAATTAAATTGAGAATAATAAATAAGTACACGCTGTAAATAAATATGTCGGCCTAAAAATAGGGAGTAATTACCTTCTTTAAAACACTTAAATTTACATGTAAAGCTAGCTCTGTTTTCAGTTTATCAGGTAACAGTCCTAAGGCAGTGTTTATGTCTCCTCCTCCTTGGATGCGACCCCTGTAAGAAGAAAACATTGACAACCATTAAATTAGGAGAAACGTATGATGTGCAGACATATGACATTGACGGTTTGTATTCTTTACAAAGACGATTTCCTATTAATCGTTATTTCAGTAATGTATTAACACTTAAATGCTCAAGACTTTGTTTTTAAACGCGTCTCAAGTCGGTTCAAATTGATCCGTTTTAACACAATGCATTTGGAAATAACGCAAGGGAAAGGATGCGCGCTGATGACGGCGCAGAGATACAACTATTCGTACGTGATGGATGTCCGTGTTGCGTCCGCAAAATTGAAGGCGCCATGGCGCGATGCGTGAACTCGCAACGCTCCACTCTATGGTAACAACGAGGTGTCTTTCAAATGAAAGAACGTGCAATAGCCGAGCGAAGGCGCCGATATTGACGTCGTCATATTTTAATACCACAGAAGCTGTTACAATAACATTTAGTTTGCCAGTTAACTGACGTAGACTGTTGTTTTTTCATGGACGAGGGCTTTTGACTTTTTGCGTTAAGAAACTTGAAATGTTTTGGTTGGAAGTTAATTTCAGTAATTTTCATTGCGAGATTCGTGTTTCACGTAAAATTTTGTTAAAGAAACTTGAACCAGGATCAGTGGTGAGGCGTGAATGATCGATTTTCGATATTCCCTCATTTGAAGCTTTGGTACATAATCGATTATGAAGGTGTTTGTTGCGAACTTGCTGTCTATCGACCCTTTTCCGTACGTTGAAATGGACGATAGATCGATGTATTGCAAAGCACGCCACGCCACTGATCAAGATACTGAAACACGTACCTTGTCTGGTGATTTATTGCTAATTATTTCTTTTTGTAATTAGTGATGAATGCAACCTATTTGTCACTATGCACTGATAAGGAAATAGTCAAAACGAATGCTAGGGTTTCTTACTTTTTTCGTACCGTCAGTTGCTTGTGAATCTTATGATTGATGTATACATTGTTCATTAAATATGCATTTTAGCTCCCTGTTCTATAACTCTCTGTTTTTGGTCTGAATGTTATTGTCCAGACAGTTGGCAGTTTCAATTTCAGTATCAAACGTTTGTATTTTTAAGTTCCTCCTGCCTTTGTAATTTTTCCAAAAAAATGTGAAAATGATTTTTACCTGGACCAAGAGTAGTCGTACCACCTTAGTACCCTCCGTTTCATTCCCCCAGGCACTTTGTGATGTCGCATGTACGTTTTTGCACCATCTAGCAGTCTTTCAAACTCTAATCGGTTTGCATTCCTATTGGTTATCACATTCCCTACTTGACCTAGAAAACGAGAACAAAGTAGGAAAATGTATCTCCTTGACAGTCTAGGTTTTTTATGTTTGATGAGAATTTGTAGTACAAAGCAGAAAATTTGAATTTTAAGAGCCTAGAGTGTGATCATAATACTGACACGTAGTCAGGATTCTTTTTTACGGGGAGGAGGGCGCAAAAAGACTCGGCTGGGAAGGTGAAAAGAGGCAGGGAGGAATCCTTTCCCGTCTTTTTCTTTGTTTCTTAATTCTTTTTGGAAGGGGGAGGGAGTGGGAATTCTCTGATTACCCTCACCCACTACCGGCCGCGTGACTCGTCATGCACACCGTGTAGGATTAAAATAAAAACCAGCACAATTTGTTTTCAAGCAAAATTAATTGACTGTTGAATAAACAAATAGGATCATTAATTTGTATCATACATGTATAACGCGCTATTTATAGTAGCGCTTGATTAACGTGATAGGTGAGTATGTACTGTAGCACTCTGTAGCACTCTGCGCCTTCTCTCAGGAGGAATTCGACCAAAGACCTTCTTTAGGACACTGAATATACGGAAATCGGAATCACATTTTAATATTTATGTTCGTAATATGACTTGGCACTAGTTTCTACTTTTAGAAGGATAAAAATGAGAGACTGTAATTGAGTACTTACCGACTATCGTAGCAAAAATGAACATGCCAATGAGATAACTAACGATTGTAAAAATATACCTGAAATAATCAGAAGAATAAAAAAATGTTAAAATACTTTAAACCTTCCTGAAGCATTTACAAAATACTACAAATGCATAAAAAGTTACAAATTTTACAGTATGAATACATTGAAAATCAAAAAGACTGAGATTTAACTAGAAGCCTCTCATGTCATGCAATATTTGTTGAAAAAAAGCCCAATGAAATAATTTTCATGAATTTGAAAGGATGAAAATTATAAATTAAACTTCAAATAAGGAGGCATAGTTCTGTTATTCATCAAAATAAATAAAAGCAAGGCAAACAAAAGAGAAATAAGACGAACAACATTTATCAAATACACCAAACGTTTCCGCTGGTGACCCAGTCATTCACGTGGTAAAAATAAGAGCAAGAAAAAAAGTAAAAACTTGAAAACCTGAAAAATCTAAATTTTTGGTAAGACGGTCTAAGCATCAAAGTACCACACCAACAATGAAGTTTTTAAGGTTTTCGATCGTATTTATCTTTTTTTCTCTCTTTTTTTACATTTTTATCGATTGATCATGGCTGGGTCACTGTAGGCGAAGCGTTCCCGGTTTTTGATTCATGTTTTTTCAGTCTTGCCTCTCGATTGTTTTTCCGGTTTGCACCTTGTTCCATTATCACGGACTATGAGCTGTAAAATTTTACTTAACACTGAGACTGTTATTATTGAGTATGCTCACTGAAAAAAGTCACATTTAATGGTATCGCACATGCAAAATCATCAAAAACACTTTTCTCCGTTGAATTTAACAAAATTTTGTGGTTAAGTTCTTGTGCGTGAAACCACCAAAGTACCCTTTTTAATGCCATTTTCAGTGCATAATTTTTGGAAATTGTGTTTTGATTATTCATATGATTAATATCGTGTTTTTCATCTGGTAGCAGAAAATCGAAGAGTAAAAAGAAAAAAGAAAGAAAGAAAGAAAAAAAAATTACCGATAGTTTTATATCGATATTGTACATACGGATCCAGGGAGTTATAAATTCTGGTCTGATTTTTAGGCTTGATTCCCTTGAAAGAATTGTCTTACGATAAGTAGTTCATATAATTTGATATTTGGTTTAACAGGATTTGGAAAAAAACCATTAAAAGATTTATCCTGCTTCAGATGAAGAAAATAAAAAAAGAACAATGAAAAATGGATGCACACCAATTATTTCTATTTCTCAAGTTTCAGCATTAACCTTCACCCATTTTCCTGAGCGCTAAAAACTCGCAATTCTTTTTCAAAGTAGTTAAACAATTAAATAGAGAAACTGGCAGATTATTGGAACCTTTTTTTTTTTATTTCTTTGCTCCTATTATCCGTATATTTTAATTTGCATCTCTTCAGCAAATAAAACTTTTATAGGTAGACATGGTCAAATTCCATGCTCGACCAAAGCACCATGAATAAGACAATGTGAGTACCTATTTTGTTGTATACAATTTTACAAATCAACCATTTTCATACCTAGACAAAACTAAAGTGGAGGATATTTGGACATTAAGCCCATTTATTATTATTGTTTTTTTCTCTCTCTCTCTCTCTTTAATATCCTCATATAGGAATTGTATCTTATTTTGTAGCAATATTAAATTCAAATCATGAGCGTGACACCGAGGCGTAAGAATAAGAGAAGAAAATATGATGCTTTTTGAGTACCAATATTAGTCCACTGCCGTGGTGAAAATCTGAAGATCTGCAGTTCTACACTGACTTACTGAACAGTGATATTTTTTTCAAATTCTTTAAGATTGTTGTCACAGTAAAAAAAAAAGACTTAAAACATAAAAATCAGTTTACCTCCTAAATTTTTTCTCTCAACTACTACATTAGTTATTATGATTACAACATGCAGACACAAAGTTTTCGGACAACTTTCTTGAGACTGTTTCAGTATGTATTGCGGCTGAAGTTTAAAACTCACGTTCTTAAAGATTACATCACATCAGAAAAAGGAGTTAGGAAAGAATACAAGACCTTATTTTCGTCGCTGGAAGATATTTTACGCGAGGAAAATAAGTGCTCAAACAATTGAAAGCTGTCCGAAAACTCAATGGCCGGGTTAATGAATACAAAATCAGAAAGATACGGGACAACTTAAAAACTTATGTCACTCATGTCACTCGCAAAAGGCGTCGCCAAAAGTGAAGCTCAGATGACTACTTTTGAGTAGAAGACATTTAGAAATATGTAAAAGCTTAATATATTTCCTGATAAATAATCACCGATTGGGGGCCTACAGATCGTAACGGCGAGGCGAAACTTACACGAACGGTGTTTCATAATTTTTCTCTTGAAGCGTCCCTTCCCAATGAATTAATTGATATCACAAACCATCTTCTCTCTGTATTTTCAACTAAAATTGTATTTTAACTAGGCTCTCAAGGTTGGTAAAATCTGCCATAATAAGAAAATCCTTTAAAAAATACAATTTCATCATAGTTGGTGAAATTGTATAGTAAAAATGCGCTATTGGAAAAAGGAAAGTTTTTTTTTTCCTAAGTTTACTGGGAGATTAAAATTCTTAATTTCATCATATTTGTTTTAAATTTTGCGAGTAACAACTTATTAATCTACTATACTGTTAATAAGCCTTTAAATTTTAAGTAGAAGCAATGTATAAATACTTTGAGAAATAAGTTAGTTTAAGATACTGCAAAATATTACATGTTCAACGGTCATTGCTATATACTATAAATAAAAACATATATTCATTAAAAATTTGCAATATACCATCGCAGGATTTGATGCACAAGTTGACACTTAGTATTCTGCAGATTTTTTGCTTAAGAGTTCAATGGACAGCCTTCAATTGCAGGTTCATGAAATATTACAGCATTGCAAAGTCAGACAATTAATTGTAACAGGTTTTTATTTAAAAATCTTCAAAGACAGAGCATATGGCATCTATATAAGAAAAAGTGCCAATGAATGACAGCAAGAAAAGAACTGTAAAAATAGTTATTCCACAATAAAAAACAAAAAAATTATCAATGAAAAACATTTTTTAAACTCATTTTCAAACACGAAAATAAGTTATTGGAAAATAGGACTCAGCCCAAAGAGGATGGGATATCATGCACATTCCTTTCGGTTGATGAGCTTATCGCGTATTTTTCTTTGATTATTATTCGCAAGTTCAGATATGAACTTTGAACTGAATTAATCGACCTTTTATAATTTCACGACACTTGACTTGAATTGAGCAGAGGTTGTCTTCGAGGAATAGGGCTTTACTTTTCACATCATGGTCATTTTATGTGCAAATTATCTTTATGGGAACGACTCCCTACTTGTTGGCAACAAAATAAATGCTAAAAAGTGTAATCGATTCTATGTGAGGCAACCTGCATCAATAACTATAAGTTGCCTTATTTATTTTAATCGATGAATTTTAATGTTGCCAAATTGAGAGAATCTCCGCTGCCTTCCCTCGTTCTCTCCCCCTCACAATTTATTCCTAACGTTGCTCAGTCCAAAAACGAGTTTTAGCAGTAGCAAGGATGCCTCTCACAAACAGAAATCTAAATTATTTCTGTCTCATAATCTAATACGTGGTTTCCTGGGAGAGCCAACAATATTAGTCTTGCATTGCAGCGCTAGAGCAGGCTGCGACCACCCTTAACCAAAACGTGATACACAATGTCGGAACTGCTCGAGTATAAACATTAAAGAGAGGAAAAGGACCCAGCGTCATATGTCCGAACGAAACACAGATTAGTAGGCCAGTGGTGAAACCACATCGTCATACAACTCTACTTCAAAGTTAAGCCCGACGTTAGCCTAACTTGGGATTATGTTGTGAGCATGATAAAAGAGCTTGCCTGTTGAATTTTTTTATGAGGAAATGGGTTTGAGAGAAAAAGGAAAGTGAATTTGGAGGTAATAATTTTTTGTTCCAACGAACGGATATTTTATTCATAACCTTTGAAGAGGTTTTACGCCTTTTGCGTCCTACTTAAGGGTGCTGATACCCTTGCCGAAAATCCGAAAGACTAGTTTTTTTCCGTATTAAATGTGTGACTGTCCAACTGCCTGGAGGATGAACGCTATGCGGACCTAACTTCAAAGTTGGATCACGTCTTTGGTTCGGCGTTGCAATATTTTGCCAACATATTTTTAACATTCAATAATTTAGAACATTGATTAAATTTTTCCTATTTACTTCTTCCATGATGTCAATGAAACGGATTGGTTACACGATGGAGTCAGGCAAGAGGGCTTTAGGGCGAAAGAAAATGACTCAGCGCCAAAAAAAAAAAAAAACCTCATTTCGATACTAAACGCTTTCTATTCCTTTAAGAACGGGGGATCCAACTTTCAATCCAGAATTTGTATTATTAATGGGTTTCAGGACATTTTGTCAACAATTTACCTTTTTTGTCCAGTAGTTTACGCCCACACGTAAAACTGTGCCACGTAAGCAACAGTGACTTGGTCCAAGCGTTTTATTTTAGTCGGTGTGTAAAATTATATTGACAATATAAAAATGAGAAATTGAGAGAGAAGGAGGTGTTGTTATGGTTGCTCAGTTTCTAAATGAAATGTTATTACTTTCTCCTTTTGAATCGTCGTTTTAAATTGTCATTGGTGAATACTTGGTTTTATTTCTATCCTTGAAGTATTGAGTGTACAATATACCTTTTATATGTAGAGGTACTTTTTTATTTTTTTTTATTTTTTTTTCTTTACGACATTATTACTTCATTTTGAAAACATTTATATTTTTAAAACGTGACAAATATTTGTAAAACCTTTTCCATGCGAAATTAATCTCAATGAGCCGCAGTCAGGCCGACAGAAACTGCAAAAATGAATAAAAGAGGGGAAAAAAACCAAGAAGCACGCAATCTTTACTTTTAACTCATTTATACGTCGATCTTTTAGAGTCAAATACGTCAAATTTTGAGCGTTTGGTTGCGCGCACACCTCGCTGCAGCACAAAAAAAGCACTAAATGTAAAGGAAAAAATTGAAGTGCTTTGGAAATCGAAAAATTTGACAC